AAGATAGATGTACATACAAAAGAGTTATCGATCAAATGAATCCGCATATCGATGGATAGAGTGTCTTGTAACAACAGTTGATGGCCAAATGAGGAGCGGATCGACGCGATAGCGTGATGACACGATACAAAAAAATGGCTGAATTGTTACGAGGTGTTAATATATTCGTGGAAGGAGGTTTGATGAATCGATTCTAAAGGTTAAAATAAAATGGAAAAGTTGGTATAAAATTGATCGAAGTTTTCACAGCGATGGAGATAGAGCTAGTAAGCTCTTTAATGAACTTTGAACGATAATTTTTGTACGCCAATTTCTGTGTTTATTTTCACCTTCTTTAAAGGTGTTTCGAACGTATTAGTAGCCTGGTGATAAAAATTTTATCCAAGAATAAATTGTGAGAATACATTGATGTGATATTCGATGTCTACGTGAATGGAGGAAAATGAAAATTAGAAATGACAAAATTTATAATGTAATAAATGTCTCGATATTGTCCTGAATTTTATGTTTCTCTTTTATCTCAAATCGATTAGAGAAATTTTTACTCGTTTCTCTCTCGCCGATAGAAAATTCACTGTTTTCACGAAATAAATAAATTCGAGATTATTATTAATTAAAAAAAAAAAAAAGAAAGAAGAAGAAGAAGCCATTTCTGGCTTACGCATATTCTAAGCAACATTCGATGTAACAAATTCGAAAATTCGGGATATTATCCGTTGAAAAATATGGAATAAAAATAGAGAGAGGGGAAAAAAGGGGGGGAGAGGATGATTCCTTCTCGCGGGAAGAAGACACACAACAGATGGCGGATTTATCATCGGCAATGCAGATGTTGTATCTCTGGTAGAAAATATCAAGCGAAGAAGAGAACTGGGACGAACGAGCAGCGGGTCTCGAAAATTCGTGGACGGCGCCTCGTGATTCATCAATGAAAAATTCGACCCAGTTGTCACAGAGCGGCCGGCATTAATAAGCTCCGAAAATCCGGCGAGGAACTCGAAGAACTCGAACTCGACCTCGACCCGATCGCGAAAACTGCCAAACCCATCCTCGTCACCCATCCGCCTCGTTTTCGCCTCCCATCATTCCTACACCTATTATTCCAAAAAGAAAAGTCCCTCCTTTGTTTTTCGACTTCGACGAAAGGAAAGCGACGAGAAATTTTATTAAAATCCTCGACGAATCTCGAGGAATTTCGCTCTAAGCGCTACTACCATCGATCCTCGCCAATCACGTGCCAATATTACGAAACCATTTTCAACGCGGTGTGAAATTTTCTCAGAATCGTAAATTTGTTACACCGAATTATAATTAGTGATCGCTGCAGTGTTTCGAAAATTTATCAGAATTTTGGCAGAAATGTCCCGGCTGATTAATTTTACCTGCTGCATCCTTAAAACGAGGCGAGAAGACGAATATTATTATTCACTTTATTATATGGAAACGATACAATTCTTCGTCTCAAAAATCGATTCTAAAAGCCGCACGATAATTCTTCTTCCCTAATCAATTCGACAACGATCAAAGAATTTTTAGAGTTCAGTAGTATTTCCATCATCCACGAATGGAAATCAATCCGCTCGAAACAGAGGAATAATTTTTTAGAGAGATATAATTTTTTAGCTTATTTATCATCATCGCGATTTTAATAATCGGCAATTTATTACGCTTTCGGACGGAACTTTATCACTGGACGGAGGAAATTTTTACGAGACTAGTCTCGAGAAGGAACTTTTTTACACGAGATTCGCACGATCTTTCGAAAGAGAGACGGAATTAATTCAACCCCCCTTTAACAAAAAGACGGAGCCGCGCCCTTCGAAGTTTCTTCGAACACCTTTTTCTTCCCTTCTTCCCGGGAAGACGAGCGCGCAACGATGAATTGTCGTTTCTTAAATCGATGCCCGATAAATTAAAGCCAACCAACGATCAGAAATCCCCTTCCCAGAGGATTCCTCCGGTTAAATGTTCCGATTTCTTCCTCGAATAACGGACCAGAAATTCACTTCCCTTCTATTTTTATTTGAAATTTTATTTGATCTATTACGACGGAGGTGAAGTTGGAGAATGGAAATTTCGTCGAATCAAATTATTCTATATTTAACTTCCTTTCTATCGCGAATTAAAATATTCTCGAGAAAATGTTTTTTTTTTTTTCTCTTCGATATTGAAATTATCACCTACTTTAGATTCTTTGTAGCCATTGAAAATATACTAATGTTTCTATTTTCAACTAAAATAATTAATATTGAAATAAATTTACACAGATCTGAACAATTATCAAAATTTTTATCAAGCTTTCGATCGAAGAAACTCTTCGGGAAGAGAGCGAATAAGAAAAGTAGGATATTCGAAAAGAAGAAAATGCAATTCCTTATGAAACATGATAAATTAATCGTGGCGAGAAGATAAAAAAAAAAAAGGAAAACAAAATTTGTCAACATCGCTTTAAAATAAAAAAAAATTCACACCGGTAAAAAGTTACTCGAATAAACAAAAGATATCGAGTTGAACAAAACACGAACAAGCAACTTGTTTTAAAAAAAAAAAAACAAAATCATTTTTTTTTTTTAAATTAGCAATCGCACGGCCCACGGGTCAAAAGGTGAACACGTCAAACGGTTCATCTCCCAACATTTGAGCGGGGAATGGGATCGAGGGTGTGGAGAAAGATTCGATTTTCAATTGCATTCCTCAATTTCGCGATGAAATTCGATTGGAAATTTTACGGGCGGACGAACCGATGACTCGTTCGAAGAGGGGGAGAAACACGAGTTTGACGTGACAACAAGTTGTTCGTTCCCTTTAACGAAGCTTGATGGAAGGTTCAAGTTCACGAGGCCACGAATTTTCCGTGCCAGCATTTCGATCATCCTTGTTTGATCGATAATGAAACTGCTCGGCCATCCTTTGCAACGAGAGAAATTTCGGACGGGATGGAACGAATCTCTGTGTCTCGCATGTAACGAGAGAAAGCGAAACCGGATTTGAATCGTTCGGGATTTACCACGTTTGCTTTTCGATTAATGGAAATGGAAATGGGACAGTAAGGAGAATAATTTGGGGACGTGTTAATTCAATACGAAACACATTGTTTGATGGGGAATAATTTTGAAATAGGAAAGAATTTAGAGTCGAAAGATTATTCGAAAAGTTTACAATTCTTGGAAATTTGGAAAAATTTTGTTTCCACATTTTAAATAATTTTTTTTTATACATATATAGTAAAAATTAATTAAAAATGAATACGAGTACAAAATAATTCTGAATAAATTCGTGTATTCTTGTCAGGTTTTTTTCTTTTTATTTTAATTTTCCATTAATAATTCGTCTACGCGCATTGATAATTCAACATTGTCATTTGAAACGAAAAAAATTGATTAATTTTCAATTTCGCATTCGTAACACGATTTGGATTCGTGAATCCATTCGATTCCAACGATAATTGAACCGGCAATTATCAAATAAAACGGTTTTCGAAAAACGAGAAAATCCGTTTAAAAGAACGGGATATTTAAATCCAACGCCAATCACGTTTCACTTAATTCATATTCCGCGAGGATCGAATCCGTCTTCACCGATTCTTTTTCTTTGGAAAAGAAATCCATCGGACAATTTTCTTGAGAAAAACAGAAGGAAATTGGCATGTCGATTATAAGGAGGGAAAGCTTGATCAATTGCATAAATAAATTTCTTTTCCGGTGAAATAATGAAAAAACATCCGTTTTGAGAAGATATCAATATTTGTTTCGCGATTTCAAAACGATTTTATTCTCTTTCATCGATCACGGTCTCGTTATAAATATACAATACAGCGTATACGATACAGCAAATTGAACGCTTTCTTTTTTTCATTTTTCCTCTTTTTCCTTTTCGTTTTGAAATTTTTGCTTTTGAATTTTTCTTCCTCTCTTTCGTTTCATCGCATCAATTTTATTTTATTTTTTTTTTCTTTCTTTTGAAAAAAAAAAAAAAAAAGAAACGAGAAATAAAGAAGTGAGAATAGAGAGTAAGTAATGAACTACGAAAGAGTTGTATACGGGGATGAAAATGCAGTTGGCGCACGCAAAAGCGCAGTAGTTGTTTTAATGGAGATAAACGATCAGGGTCAGTGATATTGTTCAAGGAAATTGAAAGACACCGCGCGAGCACGAGAGATATTCAAGCGAGGGAAGGGAAAAACAGGAGCAAAACGTACGATTAACTGTTTGTCGAGTGTTACCTGGGGGATCGTTAAATTTGTTCGCAATAACGTTCGTTTGTTTAACATTTTCTCGAAAGTTGGAACGCATAAATTAAACGGAACTTGATTGCTCGAGTAAGTATTCCATTCGAACATGGAATTATCTTGATGAAATTACAATTTTTTAGTGTTTTGAAATTTCTTTAATTCATTTCCACTTTTTTTTAAAGATTTCGAATCGAAGATATCGAATGAATATTGTAGATAATTAAATTTTAAATAAAACGTTCAAATCATTTTATACAACATCCGTCAACGACAAAATCTTCTTAATCGCTCTTCGTTGAAATTCTAAAAAAACTCTTAATTTCCAACATCTTCAACCGAGAAATTTAATTCTCATGGAATTCTTTTCTATTTCTTTTCAAAATGATTGTCTGTAACTTTCAATTCTATAATAAAAATTTAAACCAAGACATCTAAATCTTCTCACAACATCGCTAACCAAATATAAAAATCTCTTATTTTTAGAAACCTTTTCTTCAAACGAGATACCTTCATTGTTAATCACCTATCTCGTCCAAATCTTTCCACAACACGAATCAAATTCAAAAATTCCTTCTACCTATAACAATATCTAGAATACATTTATAACTTTCAATTCCACTATGAAAGGACTCAACAAAAGCATCCAAATCTTCTCATAATATATATATATCAATCTAAAGATCAGTTCACCTGGAAATTCTCCATTATGGAAGAGCCAAATCTTGCTCCGCTACCACTTCTCATCAAGCAAAGGCAAAGATCAGCTCACCTGGAAACCCTTTCTTGTATCCAGGTGGAAGGAAAGCAGCCGGTGGCGTGATAGGCGGCGCAGCGTCCCAGCAAGGCACCACATCCGGTTGCATCGCGTATCCCGGCGGAAGTTCCAGCACCTTCTGCTGCTTCTCGCATCGTCTACGTCGGCGGCCACCCGGCGTGAACGTTTTCACGGCCGCCAGGAAACCGACTCCGCTCATCTCCTCCTTTTGGGATTTCGTGTTTGCACGCTCCACTCGTCGCTCCGATATTATATCTATTCGCTCGATTATCTCGTCGTCGATTCCGTTTCACGATCGATCGTGGCGGTCAACGTAGAGAGAAGATTCGGACAGGAAACGTCGAGTCCTCGTCTCGAAACTTGGACTCTCCACGAGATCGATGGGCAACCGGAGAGATCGGTCGATGGGCGACGAGCAGATTTCTGAAACTTGGGCTCTGATGACTTGTGTTCACGATTCACTGCCGGATTTGATGATTTCGATGATGTCTGTGCGGTTCATGGCGGATGATTCAGCGTGCCGACTGTTGAGAACGATCACGAAGGTCGTGTTACGAAGAACCACCACTGCGCGGCCTCTCCTTTGCTCTCGATTTTTCTTTTACTCTTTCGATACACAATCGATTTGTAGATTAATTCGTGGAATCGCGAATTTTATTGGATTAATTCGATATTTTTGCTCAGAGGAATTTCTTTGGATTAATTGGATTCACGTGCTCTGCCTTTGGACTTTCTTTTCCTCTCGCTTTGGTCGAGTGCAAAGGATTTTGAGATTTTAGAGGCTCGGTATGAAGAGGAGAAGAGAGACACTGCGATGAGGTGATTTTTTTTTTTTGCGAAGGCATGCGATTACGCGTGGAAATATTCGATTATTGATTCATCTTCTGGTCGTTCAATGCTGGACTTTGGTAGTAATTCGTATTATACGTCATGAATAAAATTATACAAATATATATATAAATGTCTTTTTTCATCCGTTCTATAATTTTGACAAATTTCCAACATCAAACCCATGTTTAACCCATTCGCAAGAAGCAACATCGAGAATGAATTCGTGGATCGAGATAAATTACATCATGTAGCTGACCAGTGAAAGTAAAAGTGAACCAATACGAATTTTTCTATTTGTCAAAAACGGTTTTTTGCTAAATTTTTTGAAAGTTAAAACTAACACGGAAGATTTATTAAAGTTTGTGTATAAAAAGCAAAGGGATCAAAAATAAAAGATATCCTTTTTAAACCAATATTTTACAACTTCATCGCTTCATAAACAAACCGCAATTCATTTTTATCTCTTTTGAATATCGCGATAAAAGAGTTCTTCAATCCCAATAATTTAAAAAAAAAATTCACTCGCTTCTCTATATTTACTTTTTATCAAGAGATCAGATTTTTATTATACGCAAATTAATACCTCGCCTCGTTTAAACAACTAAAGCCAGTATCGTAAAATATGAAATATATATATATTAAAAGAAGAAGAAAAAGAAAAAGAAAACTTTCCAAAATAAAAAAGAGAATTCCTTTTCAGTCATCAAAGTTATAAAAAAGGTTCACTTTTACCTTTCTCTCTCTCTCTCTCTCTCTCTCTCTCTCTCTCTCTCTC